GAGGAGGGGGAAGATTCCCTTGAGTCTTCTTACAGTACCGTTATACAGTAGTCAAGGCCCTACAGAGCGTTGTCCGGGGCCTGTTAATGTCCCTTTGCCACCTCTCAGTTGGGTTGTGTACCTATTCGCTGGGATCTGGAATCCCGAGGCTGTGGTCGTGCACATGCTCACTCTCCTGCCAAAATCCCCTGCACACTCTTACACATTTGGGATTGTGCAGGCAGGGGTGGGAGGATTTTTTTCTTTTCTTCTTAAAAGACTCAGGGAATGCAAAAGTGGATATATTTGCATTAAAAGTGAAAACTTCAGTAAGACTAAACAACACTAACACTGAGGGAAGAAGGAGGAAAGTGATTGTAACATAAATGAGAGGTTGCCGTGCAGAATCAGGAACTCATGTCAATGGTGAAAGCAAGGCCCTGGAGGGAAAATGGGCCAGGGACGTGAAGGGACCTTCTCTCTGAGGGGTCTGCAAAGGTGCTTCATTCACTAGAACCTCCATCGAGGCCCCCCAGACTAGGACAGGGAACTGGAACTCTCCAGGCTGCCCTGGGTGAAATTGCTGCAGACAAGTTCGGGAGGCGTTGGCTCAGACATCAAAGAACAGGAGGTGTGAGCCCCCTGCCCCCCAGCTCTTTGTCTTATAGTCCACTGCTGAGAAAAATGTCACTTATTTACTGGGAAGAGGAGGATGAGATGATGTTGAGGCGTTGTTTGCAGTAGCCTAAGACTGCAAACCTCCTTCCTGGCAATCCTGGAGGTCTGGGTAAAGGGTTAGAGGTTTACTTTATGGCACTGAATATTTGCCAGGGTCCAAGGGAATTAAATCCCTCATATCAACATAAATAAATCCCCAAAGTAGAAATCTAGGGGACAGAGGATACAATCAAGATGATACTGATGATGGAATTTAAAAACAAAAGCAATATTTTGTGTTTTCGGGAGCAGGGTGGGCGGAGGCTCTAGAAGGAGAGTCTCCGTCGCATTTCAGATGCTAGATACCTTTGAATAAGGGATGGGGACTTCAGCTCTGTTAGCAATATCCTTTTTCTCAAAAATGTATCTGAAGTGAGTATTGCAAAATGTTAACAATTATGAACTTGGAATAACAGTTGAATGAGATTCTCCTGTGAGCTAGTTTAAGTTTATTTTTTGGAAATGAAATTTAAAACTAAGCACCAGTCTTTAAAAGAAGCATCATGCTCCTAGAAGTATAATGTGCTCATTTTGGAATAATTTACTTTAAAAAATCACTTTCTTAAAAATTGTCATTCTTCATCTCTTTTCTGCATTTCTCCACCATTAAGAAAGAAGAAATAGAAGATGTCTTGGGTTTGCAGTTTAAATTCAAACTGATAGTCATTTGCGTGTGTGTCTTTGCCACTGTGCCAGGCTCCATAGGGAGACAGGAGTCCTGGGCAGAATGCTCTCCTTATGGAAGCCCAAGGCCTGGCCCTTCCTCTGCTGAGGGCAGTGCACACCAGGGGCTCTTGAGGTTAGGGACCCTGCTGGACACAGCATGACTGCAAGCAGGTCACATGTACATCTCTGTGGGAAGTGGCACTTTTACCTTTACACAGTTCTCTTCCTATCACAGTGCACCAGGGAGCATAGTTTAGAAAATTCAAGTCAAGATTAGAGAAAGGAGCTTCAGGAGATCAGGAAGATGGGTAAAAGCTGGAGAAGGGCAGAGCAAAAGACTGGGAAGGAAAAGATTAGAGAAGCCAGAGAAGGAGAAGGGTTGGGCCTTGCCTGCTGGCAGGACTCCAGGTCACCCAGGCCCCTCCCCTCTCATCCCTCCTCTCCAGGCAGGAACTCAGTACCTTTTGGGTCCTGCACTTCTTCCAGAAACAGCCCACTCTGACCTGTCTTTCCTGCAGGGAGAGGACTGGAGCTTTGCAAATGCCATCCTGCTTAAAGGCCCTCACAGTGGGAGGCACCTTAGGGCCTGGCCCAGGTCTCTAATTCCAGGTCTTCCTGTTTCTATTCTGTTCTACCTGTTCCTAAGGAGGTCTTACTCCCTGGAGCCA